TTTTTCAGGCGCACCCCACACTTTCAGAAACTGGTCTATAGTGAAACGCTGCTTGAGCAAGGACTACAGTCTGTCTGATCTATAAACTGTCGCGGTACCGAGGCAGCCCGGCCCACCGGGAATTGTCCCGGTTCTCCAGATTAGCCACTCCGGGCCTGGTTATCCACATAATAATAGCCCTTAGTTGTGCTGCCCAGTGGTACTTTAATAAGTTTGGTAAATGTAACCCTCCTTTCTCCTTCGAGCAAAGAAGGAAAGTATACTTAATTCTAGCTTTTTTATTTTGCCACAGACATTTTTACATGATTTTGTCCAGTGTTTTTAATATTTAGCTAGGAACCCTTATAGGCAACGACTGGAACACAAATGGTAGGATTTTCATTCTCACAGTTTCTATTCTCCATATCAGAGTCAGAGGTAGAATTTCCCATCTAGCTATATATCTCTTGATTTCACAAATCAGTTTTTGTTAGTTTGCTTCAAAAATCTAAGGATTTAGGGGTCATGGCTGCCTGTTGACAAGAGGAGCATGTACATGTTAAACAGAAGAGGCCCCAGGATGGAGCCTTGGGGAACTCCACATGTAATTTTTGTGTTCACAAAGTAGTCCCAGTCTTTTAAAGTAAGACTTAAACCAGTTAAGCACTGCTCCAGAACGTCCCACCTAGTTCTCCAATCGGTCAGGTCAACTGTGTCATTAGCTTTCCTCCAGACCCCTCAGCCGGACTGAAGCTAGGGGTAACCTGTACGCAAAAAGTTTGTGGTTTAGCAGAGAGAGGGGTAGAGAGAGTGATAGAGGCAATATGACGCTGAATTGAGCAGAGCAAAGATACAAACATCAAAAACACTCATTAGATATATCTATGACGAAAAACTAAACAAGAAGGCATCGATAAGGAGACTTTCTGTCTTCAACATCTGTTGTAACTATGACAACCACACACGGATTCTGCTAATTCTTTAAACTGTAACACCGGTTCCTATCTGTAGTTTTATTGACACTGAGTCATAATGAGTTCCCAACGTAACTTTTATTCACATGAACGTTAGCGTGCCAGACGAACATACTCAGGCCATCATAACAATAATATTCTAAGTCCTGTTTATTCTTACCAAGTCTCACGAGACTTACACTGAGTATGGCAACACTCGAGGGTCACAACAGTATAACAGTACAACTGTCTACACTATCCATTGACTGTAAATATTAATGGAAGAAGCGTGAGTGACGTCTGCTATTTGTTCTTGCAGGGGACTCCGGAGGCTCATTGGCAGCAGCCGCCATGCTGGAAATGCTGACTCACCGTAACTTTCAGTCAACCTAACGCCAGACTGAGAGCTGAGACGGGTTTTGAGACTCTTGACAAACCTTTACATCGTGCCCGCCTGTCGATCAGGTCAGCTACGCACTTAAATATGGATAACACGTATCGTTCATAAAATCAAAACTGAGCCTTTATAATAAGAATTCAAGTACAGTGAATGTGATGATAATAACTAATCAGACATATTTGGTTTTTGTACCAGGCTGTAAACGTGTTTGTTTTTGCTGTAAAAACTTATTTTTGGCTGTGGTCTGTATGTGACTTCCAGTGTTCCTGGAGCCAGCCTTTAGTGGACAATGGACAAACTGCAGGATTTAGCACTTCCACATTGGTTTCATTTTTCAACACTGGAGGTTTCCACTCATGCCTATCTCAGTTTTATCTAGGTTTATGGTGGGCTCTATTTACCTCGGTAAACCTGACTTCAGGGTGTGCTTTCAGATTTGAATGTTGTAACAACAACAAACTTTGTGGATGCTACGGAGACGATGTGAGGAATGTCTCCATTACTAGTTATATACGATTACAACATTGATGAACAATAAGTGAATTAATAGAAAGTATCTTAACATTAACTAAACATCTTTTGCCCCCCATGTGATGACGATTCTGACGTCATGTCGGGCTCTTAATTCTTTCCCGAGTTTCCGAGTTGTTGCTCCGACTTGAGCAAGCGTTCATGTTCCTTTTCCAACTCAGAAACTTGTTTTCCCGATGTGTCCGACACCATATGAATGCACCATTAGTTCATGTGGACTGAAGTAGTAGAATGACAGACATTACACTGCTGGAGTATAAAAAAAAAACATGTTGATGTGAAACACACGAGGGAGCTGAAATATGATCCTGGCTCATAACTTGATACAGGAACTTGTATTCAGCAGGAGACAGGGTTTTTGTATCAGTCTGTTTCACTGTGTGGGGTGCGCATCTTTGGCTCTGGAACTAAACTGTTTGTAACAGGTAAGAACAAAACATCTATCAATACATTGTTTTTAAATTAAAGTCTGCTGCTTTAGGGCTTATATGTCGTGTTTTATAGAGAACTCATAGTACCTGAAAGAAGGTTAAATGTCACATCGGAAGTCATTATTTCTTTCTTTAAGTGATAAAGGAGTTTCTAAAGAAAGGTCTGTAACTGTATTATTACAAATATGTTTTGGATTCTCTGTGAGTCAGCAGCAGCTTTTGACAAAAACACAAACAAACATGAAATACGGATTCAATTATGAAGAAGTACAAAAATGTATCTTGTTAAAATAGCTTTTTATTTAATGGAGCATATGCTTTTTATGTGACTAAATAACGAACCTGGTTTCGAAATAAGACCCTTAAATATATCACATGTAATATTACAGCACTTAGACTGTTTAATGTCCTACACGGCATGTAACATTTTGTTTAATAGACACACATGTTTCTATCTTTACTCACACATATATCTACAGATTCTAAACAGTGTGTTAAATAATAGATGTCGGGTGGTAAACACAACGGTGATGACAATTTTATATTTGCTGTTATGCACAATTTATTTTCTAGAAAGACACATTTAATTTAATTTAATTATTTGGTTAGCGTGATTGGGAAAATATAATTTCATCATCAGATCATTGAGGTTTCCCTCATTTATAATGATGTAGTGATACAAAAAAGAGCACAAATAAAACAACAAAGACGGGTCGGAATGATTCTCAGTAGAAACAATCGCAGTGTGGTAAAGTGGTTTGAGATCATTGTCTTTATTTGTCCAAGAGAAGCACGAGTGTCCATCTTCAGAGTGTGTTGTGAATTTTTCCACATTTTTGGAGCAGAAAAGCTAAACGCAGATTTTTCCAAGTTAAGAAAAGACCCGCGGGACTTGAAGCAAAAGACGATCAGTAGAGTGAGTTTGGTCCAGTTCAGCAGAGATGTTATATAAGATGGTGTACGTCCAATAAGTGATTTAAAGACATACATGTGTTTATCCCGTCTCTGTGCCAGAGAAGACCAACCAACTTTGTTCTACAGAATACATTTTTATCTCAGATGATAACACTGTCTCAACATATCCGACCTGTTTATGAACAGATTCTTGATCCTCTGGGAAGTTCTTTTGACCGCTATTTTAAAACTGGCTACTTTGGCGTCATGTTAAAAATGGGTGTATCCATTTTCCAAAAACAATAAAATATATCAGTTATCTTTGTGGTATTTTCTATTGAACGAGGGGTTTTAGTGTTTTGAAAATCATCACATTCTGTTTTAATTTACATTTTACACTAGGTCCCAATTTTTTATTAAATAGGGTTGGAAGTTAAAAGTGAAAGTTATAGAATTTTAGAATAATTGTGTGTGTGTTGTTGCTCTTTCAAAGATAAGCAGGTGGTGCAGCCCGTGGTGAGCGTGTATCGAGCATCGAGAGCCCAGCTGGAGGAGAAGAGCTCTCTACTGTGTGTGGCCTCAGCCATGTTTCCTCCTCTGGTCCAGATCTCGTGGAAAAAACAGAAAGGGAGCGGTCCTCTGCAAGATGCGCACCCTGCTAAGGCGAAGCGGCAGGAGCTGAGGGAGTCGGGGTGCAGCGCCTCCATCTTGACTATCCCTCTGAGAGAGTACAACACCTATAAATACCTCTGCTCAGTGCAGCATGAGGGGGGCACAGTGACTGCTCAAACAGAAATAGGTAATGAAGGGTTGGTGTTTGCATTCAGCAGTGATTCAGCTTCATGTGGAGACGATGGAGCAGAGGACTGATGTTTATTTTTAACTCCTTCTGTTTGACAGAGGTCCCAGTTCCTACGACCTCCAGTCCTCTAGAGAGAGAGCCGACAGACCTGCCAACTCTGCAGCCGACTGACAGTAAGATCAAGATCTGTTTACTCTTACCTTTAAGAACAAACCAACTAAGTCAACATACATTATTACTCTTTTCCCTCTACTTACATTACCTCTGGTGCACCAGAGGGTTCAGTTTTAGGGCAGATTTAGTTTGTATTTCGATGCCTCCAAGGGGAGCTGTTTGGAAGAGAAAAGTGAGGACCAATCTGTCTTAGGTGCAGGCTTAAATTTTTGGGTTGAGCTGCTCTGGTGAGCGCACACGGCTAGGGTTTTTTTCACCATGATTTAACACAGATTATCTCCTGCTAGCCTCCGAGAGAGTTTTCTGAAGAAGTTGGGTGAGACAACGTGTAAATACAGCAAGAAATATTCAGGACAATGCATTACAATTGAGCAGGAGGATACGATGGACAAGTTTATTTATATCGCACGTATCTAAACAAGGTTACAAAGTGCTTTACAGAATGCAGACAATGAAAAATAAAACATTGAATTTTATATATTTTATATATATATATATAATTTTTTTAATTTTTATATTTTTATATTTAAGTGCTTCACAAAATACACAGGATTAAACATTGGTGAGAAAAGAAATTATGAATAAGACTTTATTAAATCAATTAAAGCAGGACATTAGTTTCTACTCAATCCTTAAAAAAAGGCCTTCGTACAAACATTTTTTTAAAAGCAAACATTTAAAAACAGTTACAGGAGTTTGCCAGCCTGATGTCTTCAGGTAGAGAGGTCCAGAGCTTAGGGGCTCTGATGGCAAATGCCTAGTCGCCCTTTGTTACCAGACTTGACCTAGGAACGATGAATAAAGGTGCTCTTGATGATCTGAGATCTCGGTTTGGAGCATAAGGAATCAAAAGTTCTGTAATGTGGTGGGCAGACCCCGTTCTGTTTTAAAAGTTATTAAAAGAATCTTAGAATCAATCCTGTATGTAACGGGCAGCCAATGGAGGGGGGAAAAGATTGGGGGAATGTGGAACCTGTGATTTGTATTGGTTTCAATCCGGGCAGCAGCTTTCTGCACTTGCTGGAGTCTAGCCATCGAGGACTGACTGAGGCGTGAAGTGAAAAGAGCGTTGCAGTAGTCCAAACGTATAAAGACAAAGGCATAAATAAGCTTTTCTAGGAAAGGGAAAGACAGAGTTCATTTAATTTAACCAATGTTTCATTACATCGGACTCTGTTGCTGTCTGCCATTTTACGACACGTCCTGCCTCTGACACCCTCCCTCCGGTCCGATAGGGATAGTCTCCCACTGTGAGGTTCATGTTTGAACAAACAACTCAGGGGCAGGCTGTCCTGAAATGTTCTAGATATTTTCTGGAGTGTGTGTGAAAGAGGCTAAAGAAAGCTCGGTGTGGTTTGGTGTTGGAAATTAACCTGAAAGCAAAGACAAATTTAATAAACCAAACATTCGTTACTTAATTTATTCTTCTGTGTTTCTCTCTTATTTACGCTGACCGTTTATCAAAGCTAAACATTTTAGCAGCTATCTGTTCTTAATCTTTTTTCCTGCTCCTGCCTTGTGCCAAACAGATCCAGCTTCAAGCTCAGCAGCCCAGGCACCCACAGCCAAACCAGCCTTACAGGACGCGGGAGAAGGAGGTGAGCTGCGTTGCGTTTAATGACATGTTCAACTGCAGGGAAATAAGAAATTGATTCTGTTATTTTTAAAGATAAGATTTCAAACTGAAGTAGTGGGGCCTGATGGAATATTTTTTTCATGTGGTCAATTATCCTTGGATGAAATGACGCTCTATATTTGTAAAGCTTAAGCCATGTCTTTTTGTCTGTCAGTGTCCTTTCAGTCTCAGTGCAAGGTGAAGCTGCTGACGCTGCTGTACACGGTGCTGATACTGAAGAGTCTGGTGTACTGCTGTGGACTCTCTCTGCTGAGGATCTTCAGAAACAACAAACCGTCCATCCACTGAACATGTGCTGACTGATTTACTTCTGATGTTTCGTGCCGTAGTGTTTTTGTAGTTTTTATGAAAGAAGCTTGTTTGTGAAAAAGTAAAGCTCTATGCTGATGACACTGTGTTTTTTGTACATAAATGAATGTACTGCAGGGTGGGCTACCTTTATCAATTTATTCCATTTACAGCTTTTATCAGCAGTCCAAAATGTTGTCTATGAAGTCTAATACCTCAATCTTATGGTTTATCTTCTTACTCCTGTAGTTCACAGACATTTAACAAAAATGAAAATGAGTCAAGCAGATTATTTAAAAGTACATCACCAGGCTTAACATCCTGCTACTGTTGTAAGCTTGGGGTCATTGACAATCAGCAACTGAATCAGAATAACTTTTATTGCCAAGTAAGGCCTGGCTAATGTGAGAGCCCACACATGACGACAAGTAATGAAAGATTTACCAGTTCAGTTCTTATAGTGTGTGTGGAGAGCAACGAGATGACCGACTCAGCACACCACACACTCACAGATTCATTCAACAACAGTCTCCACTCTCAGAACTCGTCATCTTGCACAGTAAGATGCGATTTAAGAATAAACAAACATGATGGTCAAGCTAAATGTGGCTAGCTGTTAGCTGGTACTCCTGTCCTTGTCAGTTGGATTGCGCTTTGTTTTACAGACACGTTGTGTAAACACTCGTGTTGTTGCAACAAATCAACAAGTTGCTCCTCCATTTATGACATCCATCTAACTTTATGCTTTGTGTTTGCTGTCGTCGCCATGGTTATGTTTGTGTTGCTTCTGGCTTCAGTCAGCTTGCTTCCCGATTGGCTATTCTGTTTAAAGTGACAATTCACAGAGTCCATGATCGGCCGTCCTCTGTGTTCTCCCAACACAACAGGATGTCTGACAATTTAAAATCGGGTCGCCGAGGTTAAAATCACACACTTTACACCACAGGAACATCTGGTGAGATAATCTTTGGAACTGTCAGATAATCAGGCTTTTATTGAATTTAGTCAGAAGGGGAGAATCAGCCCCGAAATCGGCCCGATTATCTTGTTGTGTGTACCCCACTTAATGTTACATATATAACACAAACATCTATCAGATTGTATCGTATATAGAAGGAATTTGTCTTGGTGTTATTGGTGCATTATTGTTTATAAAACCCACATAAACAGCAGTACTGCTACTGTCAAGAAGTGTAGAAATGCTGTTACATACCAGCATAAATATAAAGCTAAATCAAATAAAAGAGTAAAAGATGTGTCTTTGGTGTATGAAAGGAGCTGTAAGTGTTTTCTTTTTCTTTTTAAATAAAAGTCTGTGCTTTTAAGGATTTCATTTCGCTTCACAATAAATATGTAAAAACACGATCAGCGTCTTTGGTCATGAGTAATTTGACTTTGTTATAAGTAGCTTTAAATAAACATATATATTATAGCTTCATGTTTTCTTGTTCTTGTCTAAATTTGTATACAAGTATATATTATTTATTTTTTCTCTGCATTGATGTTAAATAATAAAACAGAGTTAGACAGAAAGCTGATATTGAGAGTTCTGAGCACTAAAATCAAACTGAAGTTCCTGGAATGATGCTTTAACCAGAGTTGATGGTCGTAACTGTCGCTGTGTGATTAAACTGAAAACCCTTCGCTAACAGAGAAGAGGCAGCAGAGCAGGAAACCCACACAGCCTGCCTGCTGCAGGGGAGGAAGTGTTGATTTGCTGTAAACTGTTTTTCTAAACCCTAATAACCACAGATTCATATTTGCTGCTGCACACACTGATGAACTGTTCTCACACTCTGTACTTTATTGTCTGGTCTTTATTGTTACATAAAAAACCTTCCCTTCACATGAACTGAAGACTAACAGTGTCGACCCACCTTGAGGCAATGTTCTCAGAGTTTGTGTATATTTATTCAGTAAAGGAGACGCACCTGAGTGATAATGTGTCGGCAGCTAAAATGTATATATTCATTTGTTGGGTCATTAACTAATTCATTGGCTTGTTAAATAAGAAATAATGATAATACATTTCATTTATAAAGAGCTTTCAAGTACTTACAGACACTTTACATTAGTTAAAAGTTTAAAACAAAAGATCAAAATCAACAAAGTTTGATCAAACTAACAAACTGGCAACATTACACATGTTTGTTCTGTCATGAAAAACCTTTTTTCAGGACAAAACCACAAGTCATACATATGATCGTTATATGATAAACTATTATGATGTTTCCTATATTATCAGCTCATACAGTGAACATGACTGTACTCCTGTCTGTAAAGATTAAAGCTGCTGCCCTCTAGTGGCAGCAGCAACACATTGCATCACTACTGTTTGTATCTCAAAGTTTCAGCTTTCCATTATTTGTAAGGATAAAGATTTTATTCCTGAAATCAGTCAATATTGTACAATATAGTGGATCAGTTGGTAGAGTCGGTTGTCTCAAACTGAAGGTCTGGGGTTCGATCCCCAGCTCCTGCAGCCACATGTCCGATGTGTTCTCGGGCAAGACACTTAACCCCAAGTTGATCTCTCTGCTTCGTCAACAGCGTATGCATGTGTATGAATGGAGTGGTTAATTCTGATGGACTCTTTAAACAGCAGCCTCTACCATCAGTGTTTGAATGTGTAGGTGTGACCTGTGGTGTAAAAGCACAGAGAAAACATGTATGGTATTAAAGAGGTAGGCAAGATGAGGGCCATCCCCAAGGGAAAGATCCTTCCCCTGGGAAACAAATCTAGATAAACTCTCCATGTTAGGTTGGTATGCAAACAAAGGTCAACATGAGATGCTTGATAAACAAAAAAAAATATTTAAAAAGGTAAATGACAGGTAGATGGGGATGTACAGATAGTCTGCCCACAAGGGAGAGCGCTTTCTCTGGGGAAATAAACTCCTCCTGAGAAGACCCAAGAAAGGATAATGGGAGTAGTGAGCCATGGTCCACATAATTTTGGAAAATGGTTGGTGCATTTTGGGGTCATACTGGCCTAAAAGAAAAGCCCAATGAAAGGAGATAGGGACAAGTGGAGAGTCCATCAAGAGGTATAGACGATTTTTGGGGACATAAACTTACATAAACCCTGTCTGAGAAGATCCTTGATGGAGAAAGGAACTAGAAAAACATGGAAAACCAGGCTCAAAAAGGGAGTAGAGGAAAAGCAGAGGTAGACATCCTTTTCTTGGGATAAACACTTTAAAAATAAAATCTGATTGGAATTATGTTGTTTACCTGTCCCATTATGCTTGAGCAGTAAATAAAAACATGGTCCCTGTAAGGTAGGTAAACAGGAACATGGTCCCTGTAAGGTAGGTAAACAGGAACATGGTCCCTGTAAGGTAGGTAAAGAGGAACATGGTCCTTGTAAGGTTAGTAAACAGGAACATGGTCCCTGTAAGGTAGGTAAACAGGAACACGGTCTCTGTAAGGTTAGTAAACAGGAACATGGTCTCTGTAAGGTTAGTAAACAGGAACATGGTCCCTGTAAGGTAGGTAAACAGGAACATGGTCCCTGTAAGGTTAGTAAACAGGAACATGGTCCTTGTAAGGTTAGTAAACAGGAACATGGTCCCTGTAAGGTAGGTAAACAGGAACATGGTCTCTGTAAGGTAGGTAAACAGGAACACGGTCCCTGTAAGGTAGGTGAACAGGAACATGGTCCCTATAAGGTAGGTAAACAGGAACACGGTCCCTGTAAGGTAGGTGAACAGGAACTCTGATGAAAGGTATCTCTTTGGATAAACCCTGTTTGATAAATCCTGTCCTTATAAACGACCTTCATCCGTACTTACAGAGAATCAGGGGGGGAAAGTCTCATGATGGGGGGAGGGGCAAAGAAGAGATTTTTACCTGATGGAGAGAGCCTTCTCTTAGATTTAAGGGACAGTTAAGGCATCATTTTTGTGGTTTTGTTTGAGGTAACGGTCAAAGTAAGCTAGTTAGAAGATGTATCAGATGTGTGACACTCACTGTGATGGCTGGTTAAGATAATGCTCCTAATGTTGTTTCTGTTCTTCCTTATTTACATCCTTAGAGGTTTTTCTGTCTACGTGAACAAAGAACCAGAAAAACTGATGATGCAATACAAGGTATGATCTTTTTTCTCATCACATCAGGCTTGATCAGATGGACTAGATGAGGTCTCCCCTTTGTTCCCACTAGTGTGATATGTTCAAGCGTTGTCTGTAAAATTATCTGGACCAATTACAAAAGACATCTTTCTTTTTTATGGACTACTCTGTGATCTACTGAATCTTCAAATTGTCTTGGTTTTATTTTACATATAGCACAAATGTCCAATCTGCTGTCACTTAAAAGGAGGAAACTCTGTGTTGTATTTTCCTGTTAAGCTTCTTTGTTTATAACTTGGCAAATACAGATCTGTTGCAACATGATCACGTTGGGTCTGTGATATTTTATCTTTGACTCCAACCAGGCTGTAAACATTTTATTAAACTTTTGTTTAAGTTATTGCTTTCAAAGTATACATTGTTTGAAAGGTTTAAAGAAAAGGTTATTTGAGTTTAGCTTTAAATGATGGCTTTTGTTGGCATGCATTTTTTACCACGTTAAAATAAGTTGGACCAACACGACTAAAAGGAGTCGGACGCAACCAGAGTAAAGAAGTTAAAACAACTTGAGTAAGTCACGTTAGTCCACACCTAGTAGAATACATTAATTAACATTTTAAAATAAGATAGGCCTGAACCATCATGAATAAAAAACAATAACACAAACACATTCAGCTGGCCCATCCTAATTATTTTATGTTGACTTAACAAAATTCCTTGATGCTAAAAGAACACATTTTAATTTGATGGAAATGGTTTCCATACTTTTATTACGTTCAGCCAACAAATTATTTTGTTTGAGTGAATTTGGACTCGTCAGCTGAGCTGTCTGAGAGTTTGTTAAAGTGAAATGAGACATTCAAAGATGCAGCAGTGTTCTTCTTTTACATCACTGAGACTACAGGGAGACACTGAGGACCACTATCTACGGAGAGCCTGAAGGGACAAAATAACATGAGATTACTCACAATGAAGTAGTTAATGCTGACAGCACTAATACATGTCTAAACATAAATAAAATTCCCCCGTCCAGTAACAGCTGATAGAGACATGAACCAGACTGTAAACATGTTAATCTCTGCTGTAAAAACAGACTTTTGAATGGGTGTGTATGTGACTTCCAGCCTCAAGCAGACCCTCGAGGAACTGCAGGATTGCTTTATTTTTCAACACCAGAGGTTTCCCCTTGTCCTGAATACCACTACCAGCATCATAAGGGTACCTTTGCAGTTCCCCAAACTGACCATAAGGTGGTGCTCTTTCTCCTTTAAGTTAGACACAGACACACAGAGATCCACCTTCTGAAAAAACATGTTTGAAATCCAACAAACAGTCATGAAGGAGGAGTTTATTTAAAGATGTGACACTGAGGTAACACTTTAAAGACTCATGTTATATCAGATGTGTCTTTTGTTGTTAATATTTTAAAGTTTTCATCATAAGAAACATCAAAGTGTGAAGAAAAAGACCTCTTAAAGAAATGTTGAAGGTATGAAAACAGACTTCATCAGTGCAAACAGTTATTCCTTTTGAAGAAGTTTGAAAATACATTTTCTGAATTCATGAAGTGAGCAAAGACATGCTGTTTGTCTCCTTCTTTTACATCAGCAGCAGAAATAAGAACAGACATTAAACATCTATATATAATTAAGTTACAAAAAACACCTGCAGAGGTAAATAAAAGAGTTTCAAATTATGCAATAAAAAAAGTTATATAAATATTCAGATTCTTAACTTCCTGCAGACTTTCAGAACTTTGAATAGAATCAGGGGCTGATGGGAGATCTGAGGCCTCTGATAGAAACCACGTGTTCCTCGTCTGATCTCTCAGCTCGTCCTTGTTTGTCCTCTGCAGCGTCACAGCGTCACTTCTCCTCGGGTTCACCAGAGGAAACATCGCAGCTCCAAAATGCTTCTCCTCCCAGCCGCCGCTGTTTTAATACACAGATAAAACATTCTAATAAGAGCCTATAAGTGTCTTATAAGACATAATAAATGTGTTAATTAAGCCTCTCTTAACACCTATAGAGACTTATTAGTGTTAATAAGAATCTAATAAGGTCTTATAAGTGACTTATTACCTTTTATTAATGCGTGTTTCAAGCACCTTAATATAAAGTGTTACCCTGACTTTAAAAATATATATATATATATATTAAGTGGTGACTAGAGTCCAGGCATTACCTGCATCACTGGGGTCCATTTGACATACAATCTGTTTGTTTTCAGCTGTAATCTGGCTGTGTTTTAATGTTTTAATCTGTGTCTCCACTGAGTTAGGTTGGGAGGTTG